CGCGCGGTCGCTTACCCGCGGAGAACGGGCGTAAGGCAATACCCTCCTCCGACGGGGCGGCAGGAATTTGATTTTAGTGCACGTAGGCTGGAGCGACTTCGATTCCGTTGTGGAATGCGCGGCTGTTACTCGAATCATCTCCGAGACTAGGACCGGTATTCGTGCGTTCGAGAATTTCAAAGAGAGAAAGAAAAAGAGAAAGAGAGAGAGAAATAGAGAGAGAGAGAGAGTGCGTGTGTATCGTCTTTGTATTCGCTTCAATAAATCATATTAGACGTTAAATTCATATCATTGCACAGAGATCGGTCTCGAACTTGATTGAACAAAGTTCCTAAAATTATTTTAACGTAAAAATAGCAGCGCCAGGCGGATCTGTCTAACGGCGGGATCTGGAACGACGATTCTAAGCTGGGAACTCTCTCTGAGGAGCTTGAGACCGATTTTAAAATAGACTTCAAATGTGATAACATATGTAGCGGATTTTGTTCGGACGACGCATTAGCTTGCGATTCCACTTCATCAAAGTTAAGGCAGACGTGTAAAAAAATAGAAAGTCGCGAAGATATCCTCTTGTTGAGGAAGCATGGCCCGCCAAGGTGTCGCCCAGTGGTGACTACACCTCGTTATAGATATCGCATGGAGGACAAAGATGATCGGTGTCATCTGGGAGTATGATGAGTTAATCATGAAGGGGCAATCAGTGACGTGTGTGTCTATGGAGAAAAAGTGAAGTAACTCAATTGCCGCCTCGACACACGCGCTCGACGTAGGATTACCTTCGCTCTTATTTTAGAACTCGCCGTAACGAGATCACCGGTATATACGATTATCGTAATACAGGCGAGCGATATAGAGTGAAAAATACGATAAGGGACACGTTCCCAATCGTACAGGGACGAATTATCGTCGAGACGCGGCGTCTCAACGTTCCCGACGAGGGAGTCGTCGCGAGAATCGTCGGATTTCCGATTTACCGTGCAACTCGCGCATTCTACTGTACAAATAGCGATTGGCCCACGCGGTAATTGTCGAAAATGAGTGGAAAAATGTCGCGAAAGCGCACACGCACACAGCACGATGTCGACGACAGGTCGCCGGTGTGGAGCGCGAGAGGCGATATTCCTTCCGGAATGCAGTGAGTCATAGGGATCTTTTTTCGTGTCCGCGCGCGTAACCGCGACGACATTGTTCTGTTACGTTCTGTTTCGCTTCTTTAGTGGTGCAGAGGCGAATTTTTTTCATTTTTTTTCTTCATTTTTTTTCATTCCACTGCAAGTCGCCGATTTATCCCGCTCGAGAACGAGCCAGCGTTCGATATGCACGCGTTGTTTCGTAAAAAAGAAAAAAAAAGAAAGTGTCGTGTCACTTGAAATCGCGTGGAAGAGCAGACGTGCACATGTCTGGGAGGAAGTCGCGTTTCCCGGAGAAAATGCCTCGAGAGCGACTAACAGCGACGACACGCGACATTTTTTCTTTTCCCATTTCGCAACCGAGCAAAAGGTAAACACTCTCGATTATAGTTCGGAAAATAACGAGCCGCGCGTAATCACTCTTCCTCCAGGCGTAACAAGATACCCGGCGAGTTAAGTCACTCGGTCGGTGCGTTTAGGCGTCAGCGATGTCCGCTATGCGTAACCCGAAATGGCTCGGCCAGAGGCAGCAGGCGGCCACGATTCTCGCCGCCCTCTCCCTCTAAACGTGTAAAAATAACCGTCGGTCGCGATACATGCGTTTTTGGTCGCGGGAAACAGCCGTGTCGACAAATCAAATTTCAGCAACCAACCCCGGATCTCGTTTTCGAGTTACGCACGAACACCTTTCACACGCGCATTAATTATTGTTAATTAACTGACTATTCTCCTCATTTCTCCGGGATATTCTATCGGCGAGGAAACTATGGAGAATTCTCCCATTCTCTTCCTCCCCCCCCCCCCCTCTCTCTCTCTCTCTTTCTCTCTCTCTGTCTTGTTCAACAGACTCGGCGAGACGACGAGGATCATTCTCGCGCACTTCTTTCTCTCGTCAGCTACGCGCTGGGGAAATATTTGCGAAACTTATGATCCTATCGCATACCTCACTCAATTTCGCAGAATCCCTCAGCTCTAGCTGTCTCTCCGCTCCTTCGAGCATCGCCGCGAGCTCCATTTCGCTCTCGTTCCTTGCTTACCCGGCATCTCTGATTACCAGCGAGAGCTCGGAATCGCGCGCATATTCGCTCAGGTAGAGGCTAGGCGGCGGACGCTGCAGCTTGCAGCATGCTGCAGTCGCAGTGGCGCCGGCATGAGCATCCGTGGGACCTGCGACAGAAAATGTTGGACTCGTTTCCCGGATCCGATTCAGTACCAAATGTCGCGTCGTTCGTACTCGCAAGTATCAACGATGATTTCGCTATTTCACACATTTCTGCGCATATTAAAACGCGCAGGAATCTTCGCTGTAGACGCGTGTCTACGCTGAAAAATTCGCTCTATGGAGTCCAAACGGTTCCAAACGATTCCTTCGCGCGCGTCCCTGGCGGTCTTCGTCTTCGTCCTTTCAATCGCGAGCCGTAGGAACGCGCCGTCCCAGCCGGTCGGGGAACGGCCGTATCAACCGTGGATGCAGTCGCGGAGGATTTTTGCTCCCCATGCACGAACGTCGTCGCATACCTGTGCAGCGTGACGTCACGAGACCGGCGAAGCGCGAACGTTTGATATCGCGCGCGCAAGCGAGCGCGAACGTTCACGGCCCGGGCCTTCTTCAGCGAGAAGCACGGCTCTATAAATAGGATATCCGGTCGCCCGCTAATTATACACCTATGCACGCCTGTCCGTCGAATTCGCGTTCGCGCTCGCACGCGAGAGAGAGAGAGAGAGAGAGAAAGAAAGAGAGAGCAGCCTGGGAATTTTCTCGATTTTACTTCCTCACGTACGTGCACACGTAACGCTTCCTTCCCCCTCGTCCTTGAAACGACGTCGTATAATAAGTTACTCGCAAGGATAATGCAACCGATTGATGGGATCGCGCGAACGATCGCGGCGGCACATCCGCCGGTCGATCGATATTGTTGCAAGCGAGAGAAGGAGGAGGAGAAGAAGGTGAAGAAGGAGAGGAGGAGGAGACTGTCCTGTTCCAGCGGCGAGGAAAATCTCGCTGCCCGCAAAAAAGAGCAGAGCATAATTAATTGCTCATCGGAGCGCGTGTCGGGATTCGGTTGGCGTGAAAGAGCGACGAAAAACGAACGGAGGGAAAAACCCTTCGACGTTAATTGGAACGGCCTTACCGAGCACGGTAAACTGATCGACGCGGCCTCTGGCTTTCTTGGCGATGAGTCACCGTAAAAAAAGCCTGTGGATTATAGTTAGATTATAGTACATTATCAGTTGCACGGGATAACAAATATCATATTGTTTCTTTCGTGCTATTTTATGTAACGTAATACAATCTCTCTTTCTCTCTAGTCTTATCACTAGGAAATACGTGATAACTGTTAGTTCTCTCTCCTTCTCTTTCTCTTTCTCTCTTGTCACTCGATGGACATATTTATTAAAAGATACCGTATCATTCATTTTATTTTGTAATGGATGGGAGATTCGGTCGCGTGGATAGCACGCGATTTGTAAAGACAACAGTCGTCTCGACAAATTTCCAAAGTTCATTTGTAATCTAACCTGCGTTTGCCGGCGCAGATTTTCTTCCAGTGAACGAGTGAGGAGATACAAACGCCATCATGGACGCGATCAAGAAGAAGATGCAGGGAATGAAGCTGGAGAAGGACAACGCGATGGATCGCGCGTTGCTCTGCGAACAGCAAGCTCGCGACGCGAACGCACGAGCTGAAAAGGTGAGTACGAGGTCATCCCCGCTGCAGCGGTTCACGCATTATTCTCAGCAATTGTACGACTCGTCGAATTTTACACTGCAAAACGAATTGTGATGATACGATTTTAATACGTGACTCGTAAAGAAACGTATTAATATATTAATAAAGTAACGTAGAAATACGACGAAATATTTCACTTAACAACTTAAAGAGAGGATTAATGAAACTTTTTGACTTACGCAGGCTGAGGAAGAGGCTCGCGCCCTCCAGAAGAAGATCCAGACCATTGAGAACGAGCTCGACCAGACTCAGGAGGCTCTCATGCAGGTCAACGCGAAATTGGAGGAGAAGGACAAGGCTCTGCAGAATGTAAGTGAAACTTGCATTACTCTCAGCAGCAGCGATAGAGAAATATTCGATATCGTTGCTTAACGTGGTCAAGCCTACGGACCTGCTGACTGACGACGAGGCTCAAACATTCGCATTCCGACGTTGTCTCACTTTCCGGAGTGGACTCGTTTTAAGCAAGATCTCAGTCGCTTTCGCGGATCACTGATTCAAGCGAGTGATCGAGAGACGAGACGCGTTCGGCGAATTCGACGCCGTTAGAAGCGTGGCGCGAAGTTCACATAACCCCCTCGCGTTCGAACGTTCTTACTTTCCGAAGTGAGCTTTTCGCAATCAGAACTTTAGCCGCCCGCGTTGACCTATTGATTCAATAAGAAATACGACCAATTGAGGGCCGAGGTACGCGTTAGACAGATTCGACGCTGTTAAAACCGCGAACAGAAACGTCTTCCCTCTTTGTTCGTACAACGAGGAGCACGACTTGGCTCGTGCGTCACAGCCCCAAGGTTTTGTCTACTCTCGAAAGTTCGCGCGAACATCGCCGCGACATACTTACCGCCCGTTGAATTTGACGAGTGTCTCAAAGAGCCAAAACAGCCGCATACCAAACACAAACGAGCTTATGCCGCGCGGACCTCTTGACCTTCTCGCGCGGGAACGCAGACTCAATGGCGGCGTGACTCAATTACCGACGGCGCTCGTTGCGTCGACGAGCCGCCGACAGATGGCGCCAGTCGCTCGCGCGACTCTTGCAGCTTGCGCCTCCACTTGCCCTACGCCAGCAGTTCGCCAGCGGTGCGCGTAGCTTCCGTGTCGTCCGCTCGGAAACCTTCGGCATTTCCCCTTCTTCGTCCACGTTGCCTGAGTGGAGAGGGGCAACGCTCAAGCGCGCCGTACGTTCAAGCGAGACAGACAGCTGGGTAGCTGCAGTACACACAGAGTCGGTGTATCTCGCTCTCAACACACAGGCGCACGTCGTGTGCGTGACGGTACCAGAGAGAGAACCGGTACACTGTGTACACGACATTCGCGTGCGACGCGCGGGGAGAGAAACGTGCTCTATGATCAGTGACAGACAAGATGGCGGAGTGTCTGGTGCAGTGATAGTAGTAGAGCAGTGCGTATCGCATGGGCTGCGTTGACGTGCGTCGGAGGTTAGGTTCACGACGACTGAGCGAGAGAAAGAGAGAGAGATAGAAAGAAAGCGAGAGAGAGAGATAGTGACAACAGCTGGACACGATATGGAACGGTCGTTCACGGTCACCACAAAACGTCGCGGGCACCAGCATCACCCGCGGCACACGACGCGTCGACGTCTCGACGTCTCCAGCAGAGGACCCGCGCAGTGTGGCCCTGCTGATTACACCAACAAGAACAACGTCGTCAGCGCCGACGACGAGAAGACGTCTTCCCTCGCCAGGGTGACCGTGGCCGCAGCCGCCACCGACAACTGTCTCACGGCGATCACTCGCACACCCTTACCACGGCCCGTCCTCGGCGCGGTCCGAGGTATCGTGAGGCCGCATGCTGAAGCAACGAGGATCGCCGACGACACCGTGGAGATCGAAAGCTCGAGAAGCCACGTCGTCGGCCAGGACGACGGCAATGAGGAGAACGAGAAGAACGTCCAACAGAGGCTCGCGCAGTGTAGCCCGGACGTTCCTGTCGCCGGCGAGAGCGAGAGCGCCGAGCGAACGACGAGGAGTCCGAGTGAGAGGAGTCCTCGCAACAGTCCTCACCGGAGAAACGCTCCTTCCGACAGCCCGTCGAGGAAGGACACCTCGCCCGAGCCTGAGCACGCGGTCGCGAGGGCTCGCGGCGATGGCAACTCCGACGACGAGTCCGCCAGCATCGAGGAGGACCCCGAACTCGAGGAATTGGCCAAGTTACGTTGCCCCAGCGAACGCACTGAGATTCAGGCGGAGCGGGAGGCCCGCCGACGGAAGAGATGCGCCGATTATCCGGGGCTCGCCTTCGGCTGCTCCATCTTCTCCAGCGACACGATGATGAAGTTCAGTCTGATCAAGAACGAACTGCAGAATATCACGAGCAATCAGCTCAAGCGGGTCAGTATATCGCGCGCATGATTCGATCACGATAACGGCGTGTTAACTGCGTTGATAAGACGAGGGGGTGAGTGGCTGGCCAAGGAAACGCGATCGACTTCAGGGTCGCCGCGCGACCTTGAGTCACCGGCGGTCAAGAGGTCCTCGGGCTTGCCGCGATAGCGGCTTCGGCAAAAAGATACCAATTGCCGGCTGGCCTGAGCAGCGTCCGAGCGGTATCTTCGCGCTGCTCTTCGCGAAAATCTCCGTCGCGCTATTGTCGATTTATTACGCGAATCGTGTCGGACAAACGGACGGACTTCGTACCATAATCGTATCATACGACGCGTCGTGGTGGGCGTTATTTGCAATTACAAAATCACGCGAGATCGCCGAGGTTGTTTTTTTTTATTCGCGAGAGATACGACGCTCGCGGGGACTTTGAACAACGAGGAATCCTCGTTTCCGGCTCATAGATTCGCGGGAATGCGCCGTGCTAATGAGCCGGCTATTGCCGAGACTCCATTACGATCAATTATCTGCACATCGCCACGATCGTTGTCGTCGATATCCCATTTCGCCGTTGGCGAACGCTCGGCGGCCGTGCACAAAACGCTCGGAAAACGAAAGTCCGTAGCGTATCGTCGCGGATCTCGCTCTTTCTCCCCAGCTATTTATCCTCGTCTCTCACAGCCTGCACGCAGAATGTTAACGAGCGAAAGGCGAGAGAGACGCGAATGCTAATTCTCCGCGATTAACGATCTGGAATTGAATCGACTGCGCTTGATGTCGCGCGGGCTGCGGTCGCCGTGTAATTAGCGGCTCGTCGGTGTGGATGACAGAGCGAACAGTCGTCCACACCTGTGAGGTTGCTCAGGTGGATTATTCAGTCGTAACCTGACTGCGCGACGGTCGATCACTCGGATCGAGATCACCAGGCTTATTATATAATCCCGATTTGTTGCAACCTGAATCATTCGGATATCCGAGTAATTGCTCAGAGGATGTCTTCTCATTCGCGAGATGTTAGATTGTTAACAGCACTGGCGATAAAAAATAGATTTTATCTGTGAGGGAAAAAAGCCTCTGGGCGAAAGTTGAAAGAGAATCACCGTGAAGGTTAAGCTTTGTGCGATCCTCTTTTGTGACACCAGCCGTATTTATTATTAGGGTTACTGAACGGCGATAATAGGTTACCTACGGAAAGGTGCACGTGTGTGTCGCTGCACAGTAACGCGTTGCCTATTGTGTCCAGAGCTTAACGACTACCTTTGTTTCTCGAAATTTATTCGAATTTTCCATTGAATGAAAAACTAAGGTAGATCCAGGTTCCTCTGTAACTTTCCATTATCGTCGGTTGTCTAAGTTTTGGATAGCAAATCCATTCCGGTGTTTTTTGTTCACTATTCACTCTTACATTTTCCAAAGAATTTTTCTTTGGTTGGAGAAATTTTCCTCGTTAGGAACTGTACCTTTTGCATACGAGTGCTGAACAGCACAACATACACAGCAACACCAAAGCTGTGTTTGTTTTATAACGCTCTGAGCATCATTTCATCTTTGTTTCTATCAAATACTAAACAAGGACAAATGATGCTTAAACGCGCTATAAGCGCCAAAACGAATGCAGCCTAAATGTACCCTTTTTTCCTTTGCCCGCATAGCCGGCATTCTTTCTGCTCAGCTAGTTTGAGGTTGTAAAAATATGATCAAGGAGCTACAATGTCCTGTTAGAAGACCAAGACTAATTCTTAGATATTCATAGTCCAATCTTATATTTAAGATCATCTTAAGTACTTAAGTACTTAAGATGTCATGAACCAATTCCAATTTATTAATGTCTTAAGATGCGAATACGGCTTACAGAGTCCTGTTCGCATCTTAAGACATTAAAACGGTCTTGAAATAAGATTCGACTATGAATACAGGCCTTAATCTCTCACTTTCTCTCCATCCATAGCCAGATGCTTTTTTGTTCCGCTTGTTAGCAAGGGTCGCTTATAAGCAGCCTGGATTACCTACATCCCTTATGGGTTTTCCATTCATTTAAAGAAGATAAATATTGTGAAAAAACTCTTTGTAGTGAATGTTTGTGACGCCCATAAAGCAGCTTACACTTTGAACTTTCTTTTGTCGATAAAAGTACCTCTAAATGTGATTTATACTTCAAGATAAAAAATTCGGTAATTTATTCGTAGAATAAATCGTCAGAGTTGTCAAAACTTGAAAATGGGAAAAACCCAGATGACCAGATCGTTGATCTCTAACCAAAAACATCTTTAAGAAAAGAAACTTAAAGGAAATAAACACTGTGAAAAAAACTCTTTTTAGTGAATTTTTTGTAATGCTCATAAAACAGGTAGATAAATAAATATTTTTTCATTGAATTAGTTATCTTTTGAACTGTTGAAAAATATTTTTCTATTTGATGAAATATATTTTTATTTTGGTATAAAATGTGTCTGTAGTAGGCTCTGCACGCTCCATCGGCCATATATTTGGAGTTCTTAAAAGTCATCTGAAATAAAAAAACCCAAGATTTTTTTACAGTATACGAATGTAGTTTCAGAAGAGTTAAGCGTGCGTACGAAAATTTTAATATTTTAATTATTCGCAAAATAGCGCACGTTTAAAAAAATATTCGCAAATCATTCAAAATAAAAGCACCATTTTTATTGGCATTTTAAAGGGAAATTTCAATCGTAAAAAAAAAATAAGTACGCTTAACTGAATCTACATTCATATATTTTAAGAAACTCTTGAATTTTTTATTTCAGATAATTTTTAAGGACTCTAGAACTGATGGAGTGTGCAGAGTCTACTACAAACACATTTTATACAAATATTATACATATTTATACAAATTTATACAAATATTATATACATTTTATACACATATTATAAAAATAAAAATAAAAATGTATTTCATTAAATAGAAAAATATTTTTCAACAGATGAGTTAAGTAAGAATAAGTTCAAAAGATGATTTTCATAAGGTCCATAATGTCTTGTTATCTGTATATTTAAGTTATCGTTGCATCGTTATAAAAATCCTATTATAGAACGCGTTCCTCTGGATTTTCTTTTTGCTCAATACTTCTGGAAATCTTTCCAAATGTTCCTTTGGAACGAAAGTTAATCATGTATCGTCATGGGAGTTTCGATTTGCCCGTCGTCATAGAACGCAGCGCGCATCTGCGAGCCGTCTCTCTGGACATTTTTTTTCTTACCGCCAGTGAAAGTCGACGTCATTTAGCGCCGCGCTTCATCCTGCGTCGATTGTAATTCCGGGCCACGTGACTTTAATTGATTCCTCCACTGTCAGACGATGCGTCACGCGCGCGCGGTGAATTTCAAATCGAACGGGACGTCGCCGCGGTCGTCGAGTTTCGTGCTTTCTTTATTGCAATCGAACGTCGTGTCGCGACCCGTGCCTCGTTAATCATCATTCGTGATAAAAGGTTCACCGCTCGTGAGGAATGCGTCGTGCGTCACAATTAATCGCGGGTGACACTGTTCCCCGTCGTTCGTCGCGCTTCCCTTTTCCGCGAGCTTTCGTTCTCGAAAGCGTGTCGCAGCCGCGCGTGTCAATTAATTGTCGGCCGATCATCGTCGAAATTTCAAAAATGATCCGATCATCTATTTCGGGCTCTGGAGGAGCGATGTGTAGTGTCTAATAATAGCTGCAATTGAAAATAAACGCGCGCAAGAATATCTTTCCCGCTTGCGTCAACGTCTGCTGCACGTTGCGGCTTGTTAGCCGCTCGTGATGGAATATATCGCGTCGCGGTTTACTAAATCGTAAGACATCGAATCCGCGCATTCGTCTCGCTCGTGTGAACGCGTTAAAGACCAGTTTCGTGAAAAAAAGGTGATAACAAGGAGGAGCAAATAAGGAAGCTTCGTTTACACCGTGTGACAATATTTGCATAATTCTCTCGACATCGAAGTTCTGCCTTCGAATTCCGTCGATACGTTTAACAACAACATTTCGTTCTCATCAACAAATAATTTTCTGCACTTTTCCATTTAAAAAAATGAATATAATAATCCTTTTTGGCGGAATGTTCTGATGACCTCAACACTGAGAAAGAAAAAACTTTGTGTAACTATAATCACATGGAGAAATAATTACTATAAATTATGGTCAGGAGAATATTTTTTTTTTATTAAATTCCACTACAATATTAGTGATAATAATCTTGTGTGCATTCATTTTCGTGTTAGAACAACCAAAAAATATGGCTAGGGCCGTACAAAACTCGTGCAGTTGTCACCTAATAGCTACCATCATCATGTTTTTCTTCTCTATGACTAAGTTTCCCATTAATAGTCCGCTTCATTAGAATACACATTTACAGGAAACTAGAGTCTTTTTGTCGGATATTAGAATATTTTCCTTTTGAAGGAACTCTCTCTTGAGACTGTACGCGTAAGAGGATAAAAGAATTTCTCTGAGAATGAGATTGTATTTTTCAGGTGTTATCACTTAGAATCTCGCGTGTACTTTTCTCAGCGTTCGTAGACCGAAGAAACGGACGAGAAAACACACGTCTTTCCTGCAACGGCGAATTGCGTCGTAATTCTCCGTCGCAGTCTTACTCCTACCGTCTGTCCTTGTCGTCGGCCGGCAGCGCTCGATTAAATTTCTCGACGCTCAATCGCCGCTTCCTTAGCCGTCGTGATCGGACAATGGAAATCCGGGATTCCCCCCGGCGGGTCGTTCGTCCCTTTTTTCGGGACGAACCCTTTACCATTAACATGCGGCGGCCTCTTTCCGACGCATGTCTGCTCAAGATCGCCAATGCAGAGCCCGCGGCTCCGGCTAGTCACATTCTAAAAATACGTGACGGCCATGATCCAGCGCGGGTCTTTTATTCGGGAATACGCGGGACCAGATTGCGTAAGCGCCGCCGCTCCTCGCAGCCTGAGTAAATCCGGCGCGTTTATGCGCGTCGAAAGCACGCCGCGAAAGCAACTCGCCGATGCAAAACGCCCACGCGGAACGCCAAGAATTTGGA